AAATTTATTATTCTGGGAGTGACTGGTGTTTTTTGGTGTTGATTGGTTGATTGGTTGTCTTCATCACCTCCGTCTTCTCCGTGTACATTTGAAGACACACTTTTCCTGCTTCTTCTGCTGACTTGTTGGTTTTCAGCTGTAGACCTTCGAATTTAAGGCATCTATTCCTATATTTGAAGATGTCAATTTACTGTTGATCGTGTTACTTATTGGTCAGCTAGATATCTTAGTATGCGTATTACAGTTTATAACTAATTTACTCATTTGATTTTTTAGAGCTTTAGTAATTTTTAAGAGTTTTCTGCGTTTCCCTTAACTAAGATTTTTCTTTTGTCTTAGTTGAATTAATGTCCATATTTGTTCACGTGAACACATTTTATTTTTCTGTTTTATTCTTGTGCTTTGAAGTTTCCGTAGCAGTGAGTCTTGCTTTTTATGGACTGGGTTGTTAGCCTCGTACCCAAACTTCTCTGTTTACCAGGCTTAATGCTGGCTAAGCGAGGTTAAGGAGTGCGTTGTTAGGGGATCGAACCAAGGACTACGTGCGTGATTGGTGAGTATTCTATCACTGAACCACTGACGCACTAGTTCACTTCAAATTAATATGAGTGAATGGATGTCACATGATTTGAATGCTAGTTTGTGTTGATGAAGGCGAATATCAGAAGAGATCATCCAGTTTGGCCGATGTAATGTTTTTCTCAGTTTATACAATCTACTTGTGAGAGAGACAACTATTCTATTATTTTGTTTATTTTATTATTATTCCCTTGCGTTCCGAGTGGAACATAGGGCGTCAAAAACACATCTCCACCTTGTTCTCTTCTCTGCCGTCCTCTTCATCTGGATCCACGACTGACTAAACTCTCTCATCTCCTCCAACTCACACGATCTCCTCCATGTCACTCTAGGACGACCTACTCGTCACTTTCCATTTGGGCTTCACTCGAGGGCTTGGTATGCAATGTCATTCGGCGGCCTCCTCAATGTATGCCCGATCCATCCCCACTTTCTCCTACATATTTATTGTTGGGCGATCGGCTTTTGGTTGGTTTGTTGCCAGTCAGAGTTTCTTGTTACTAATTCTTTCTGGCCATTTGATCTTCGGTATAGAGCGAAGGCAGCTGTTGGTGAAAGTCTGCAGCTTGTTGAAAATCCCTTTCTTGACACACTGGCCAAGTTTTTGACCCGTATAGAAGGACAGACTTGAAACTATTGTTGAAAATCCGAATCTTGTTCCGTATGCTGAGTGCGGAAGAATTCCAAACTAGTTTCAGGTTGACGAAGACATATCTTGCCTTTCCGATTCTGAATTTGACATATTCGTCCGTTCTGAGTGCCTGTAGTTGAAACGGTGCTTCCCAGATAAGTAAAGGAGGCAACCTCTGTCAAATGTCTCTCACTGATGGTGATCTGTGTTGGTTGTTGTTGCAGTTGGTTGTTGGCGGTTATCTTCATCACCTCCATCTTCTCTGTGTTCATCTGCAGCCCTGTTTTCGCTGCCTGCCTCTTCAGCCAGTTTGTTGGTTTTCGCCTGCAAGTCTTCATGTTTGTGTGACATTAGACAGATATCATCTGCGAAATCCAGATCTTCTAGAGTCTTCTTATCGGTCGTCCAGCGTATTCCTGACTCCTCACCCCCAACAGTCTGACGCATAATCCAGTCCACCACAATTAAGAATATCATCGGTGATAATAGGCAGGCAACCTTGTCTTACTCCTGTATTCACTTCGAATGCCTTGCTGAGTTTTCGTTGTGGATCAGTTGAAACGTTGCATTGTCATATAGCCAGGTATTGATTGAGGTTGATGAAGACTTGAGCACTGCACGCCATAGTGTTGAATTAGTTTCCAAATTAATTCTCCGTCTACGATGTCGAAGGCCTTCTCGAAGTCGATGAAGTTGAGGTAGAGTGAGGTTTGACTGCCATTCTATGCTAGTTTGTGTTAGTTTACGAGAGAGACAACTATTCTAAGAGGTCTAATATCTGGTAGTGATTTCGAAAATATTCTTTATATAGGGTAGAATAATTTTCCTCTTCCTTTCAATGGATGATTTTGTGTTGATCTATTGCAGTGATGACAGACATCTTTTGGTGAAGTTCTTTTTGGATATCCACTGTTTTTGAAAGACGATCAGCAAGTGTTTTTTTGGTTGTTGTATTCGTCTCAAGACAGGAATAATTCAGTGTGCAGTGGCTTTTTCGAATAATGTTTTTATACAGCTTCTTTTGTGTGTTATCGAGTTGTTGATTTTGTAGTGGTAACTACAGCTTAATTGAAAATATCCATCGAAGCTATAAATCCTCCTCATTTTTAAAAATCTGTTTTTAATCAAGTATATTGGTGATTTATGTGTAAATTATATCATCCATTAGTGCAGTCAGACACAAAAAAGGATTCCAGACTCACTGAAAAGGATAGTAATCGGATTTTCAGTACTGATATTATCTATGTGATTAACTCGATTCTATACTGTCTATCTGTTTTCGACATAGAACTTTGCACATATGTGCAGCAGTTCAAGTCACCACACTCCATGTACCACACAAAGCAAGAGAATAAAGTAGGAGAAATGCATATTAGAGACAGTAAACAGAGGTGTGAGACAAAGGGTTAGTAATAACGAAAAACAATATAGTTTCATGGGAAATCATAAGTCACAAGGAGTGGATGCATCTGCACCAGTCATTGAGAACGATTTTGAGCCATGTCACCAATTGTTTCCAACCATTGGTTTTTACCATCCCGAGGACCCCAACCAGTCAGGAAGTCTACACCTTCCTACGTGGCCTAGACTAACTGTTGTAGATTTCATTGACTGGTGCCATGTTTTGATTTGACTGCCGCTAGCTCTTTTCCAGCCTGACCCTATATCAGCTAACATTGCCCATTGTCGAGGAAGGCGATGACTAGGCATACATGTGTAATACATGTCCCAAACATCTCAGTCGATGTAATTTCACAGCCTCGTCGATTGGTTTCCCCTCCTTACCTAGCACTCGACCGAAGACTAGCCTCAATATTGCTCACCTTATTCTATACATTAATACAGTTATGCAGTCACTAAGTCAGATGGTCTGAAATCTAATTTAAATAACGCACAATGATGAAATGAGCTTTAATGAATCTTCATAATAGAATGAATTAACAAGTGAGAGGAAATAAATGTGTAATTAGTTACAGTGAGATTAGGGATTTGTGTATGAGTAGTCAAACTATACTGTCACACAGGTGAATAATTAAAAGTGATAAAATAGAATGATAAGACGGAATGCTGAAGTGAAGAACTTAAAGATGAAAGAATGTTAGGAGATAATTGTTGCTGGTTGGTCTTTGAGCGTCTGATAGCTGCCAAGGTAGGCTTCGTCAAGAATCAGTATCAGTCTAAAGACTATTGAAAATCGGAGGGTATTGGAAAGCTGTTTCATTCCGACTTGAGACACTTTAGCATTGAGCAACTACAAACATCCACTATTGGACCACTGTCTGAATTCAGCCTATTGTGGTTGTTTTTCGAGCACGTTACAATTTAGCCACTGGGTTCGAATCCAGTAGTATATGAATTCCAAATTTTATCAATCCTGAATCCCCTATCGTCGGTAACTATTCGTCTTTAAATTCCTCTTTGTAGACATCCGTCGGTGATGACTTCCTATTAGGACTTTAAGAAGACCACTCCATAGTCAGTCACTGACCAGCTGACTATTAAAGAATCCCAAAGTATGACGAAACAAATATCCAGCATTCCTGCCTGATTTTCAGTGGCTCTCTAACTGATGTTAGTATATGACCAAACCTACCTTGAATTTTTTAATTTTTCGAACATTTTGGTATAGTGCTTGTCAACCACGCATTTCATTCAACATCGACCTCAAGGCGACGCACTCTCAAACTCCTTCCATCCATCAGTAAACCCGGTAAAAAAAGAGAGGGCTGGGCGTGAGGCCAGCAACCGTACCCTGTTAAAAAAACACTACCACTACAGGAACCCCAAGTATAAAGCCCTATTTTCCATTCGCAACACAAAGCAATGAAAACAAAGTTTTGCCTGTCTCGATTTAAGTAATTAATTAGTTCACCGAAAATACCCATTGAGTCATGAAGAAAATAAAAGACAATTCAGCGAAGAAAATTTCCGTTATCGATGAAATCATCTTCAGAGGCTGTACAGTTGAATTCACATTGACCAAAAAATGGATAGTAGTACATTATTGAGTAGTAGAGGGGTGGCATAATTGATATAATTACTCAAAACTGGCTTCAAAAGTAAAAACAGAAGTTACAAATTATGTAATACTCAGCGGCACAAAGGAATAAAGCATCAGAAATTTGATAAGGTTAAAATTGTTATTGAGTGAGAAGAAAGGTAGTTGAGTGTCCATTTAAAAAATGTGAAGAGGGTGAGAAAACGTACAAAAGGAACATGTGAGAGTGATGACATCGAATCGATTATTAAAGTAAAAGTAAACTAAAAGTAAAATTGAAAATAAAAAATAATTTTTTTACAGGGAAGGACTGGTGAAGAGGTTAGGACCATGGTAGAATAAGAGACTGGACAAACGTTTTCTGTGTACAGAGTTCGGGGTGGTATTGACGAATTGCCAGCGCCTCCACCATACACAAGTGCCGAAACCTGACGCCCTTTTTACCGTTTGGCCTCACCTTGTAGATAATCTTGAAAGACGACTCTGGTGGAGCTGTGTGGCTTGAGTTCACCAAGTGCTCGAGAACTGAGCTAGTAACTGTCTTGTATTGCTCTTTTGCTAACCATGCCTAATAATGTCAGAAATATCAAAAAAATAAAAACAAACGGGAGATGCATTTCCTGTAGAGTGCATCACTCACATCAGGGAATTGATTCTGCACTACAAGTTTACCCAGAGATCACTTTTGTATATAAGTCTTTTTCTAATCAAAGTTGACATTTATGCTTTTGCTAATTTAATAAATTTTGATAACAAATCACCATTTATATAACTGATAATTTTATTTTCCAGTAAAATGAATAATTCCTTTTCACCATATCGATATTATCCACCCGAGGAGTTTACACCGACAACTCCACCACTTGTTGTAAAATATAGACAATTTAACGATTTGCCTAATGATCCTACACTGTTACAGAATAACATGCATCCTCAGTGCCACAACAGACCTTTGAAAACTGATACCACTCCTTGTGAAGTAATGACACCGAGTAATTTAACCAGTGATACAGTGAATACATCAAGTACTGAGGCCCAGGTCAGATGGAATCCCACGAGTTTCAGTCCTGAGGCAAATACATCAGCACTGAAAAAGAATCTGAAAAGCAATCATGAGAATCATACCAGTGACAGTGTGACGGTGGTGCATCATGGAAGACAACGTAGTATGCCTGTTTTTATGCCATCCTATATGAAACCTGATACTGGAGTAGATAAATTAGATAGTGAGACAATGACAGATACAGAGAATTCTCATGAATCAAAACAATTGAATCATCTTACCCTATTGGGTAATTCAACACGATCTATTTCAACAAATATGATGAATAATTCTACAATTGATACATCCAAGGGATCACTGACAACAACAGCAGGGAATCCAAGTTCTTTAAATCTAGTCATTGATATACATTTACACGGTCCTATTAGTGATTTAACCGATAGTCGGATGACACAAAGTTGTATACAAGAACAAGATTATACAAAATCAATCGATGAAACTGTGCTAAATAAAACAAATTGTATTAAATGTTCAATGGATGAACTTTTAACAAATATGGATTATTGTACATTGAGATGCAAACCCCATCGGGCTAAATCATTGATTGATCAACGGAATTCTTCATCTCAGTCATCTTCAAATGATTTGAATACAGAGAGTAGTCGATTAAGTCATAGACTGAGTAAAGTGTAAGTGTTGGAGAAAAAAACAACTCAAAATGGGAATGTGCATGTAAAAAGCCTGACTGTCTGCCTGCCCGACCTGTTTAAGCATGCTTTCTCTTCTGACTATGTACTGCATGTGATTATTCATATTATTTTTTTATTCCTTCACGTTCCCAGTGGAACATAGGGCTTCAAGCTAGAGGCTTGAAGTTTCTGTAGCGATTTGTATTTTTTACAGGATGGGGTTGTTAGCCTCATGCCCAATCTTTCCTCTTTATCAGCGTTATTTCTGGCTTAGCGAGGTAAAGGAGTGCGTCTGTGTCCGGGGATCGAACCCCGGACCATGTGCATGGTTGGCGAGCATCCTAACCGCTATGCCACCGACGCACATTCATATTATTGGTAACCCTTAAATGGTAAAGTTAGTAAATAGTGACCTAAGGCATACGAACTCACTGGTGACCTTGAAGTGGCCAATCAGAATAAACAGTGTCTTTTCCGTAAAAAAACAGCTTATTTGCAAGATAAATGCAGATAATAACTATGAACATGTCCACAGATGCATCCTCAGCCTTTTTCTAGGGAAATACATCCCCTCAATCCTAACCCTGATCCTGAATCTAACTGTAACCCTAAATCTAACCCTAACCACCACCCTAATCTTCACTCTAACCTTGATCCTAACTGTAGCCCTAACGTGTTATCAACGCATTATCCAAACAGTACTTAAAAACCAGATCGGGATGAAATTTGCAGCTCACTTCATGAACATTCACAGTGGTGCTATAACAATCGTGTTGGACCCGTTATCCCACAGACAGTATGCATTTAAGGTCATATGCCCATATGATCAATTACGTGTTTTGATAATTTCACCGTATTACGATCAAACAAAAAAGCTCTGAACCAATCAAATCAGTAGGTTATTCATGTGTAAGAGTTTTTGCGTAAGTTATTTTAAGACACGAGAATCAATCAGCCAAATAGGTGGACACACCCACTCTAGGATCACGAAAGCTGGATGTACAGATTTCATTGATTTCAAATTAGATTTCTTCATGTAAAATGATTCATTGATAAACCTTTTTCGTCTGTCATCAGTTTTGCTGCATGACGAAGAGTCGGCAGAATTTAGAAATCCTAGTGCTTTTAACTAATGGCCAACGAAGTGAATAAATAGTACACATGATCACTTTGTTGAACTGAAGTTCCTGGAAACTGACTTCCAAGGCCGTAGGGAATTGTTTTTCTGGTATATTTCAGTTAATAATAATTTCTTATAAATGATAACATTTTTTGGTGAAATCCTACAAAGTCAACTTCTCAGCGTTGGACTCGAAAGCATGTAAATAGAAAGTTATGTGGAGTAAGTATTTAGCAAATGCTATGTAATGACTCTGAGGTCAATTATATAGGTCAAACTAGTTGATTGGTGTCAGTCGAACTATTCAAAACTTAGGAATTAAGTTAGATCTAAAATCAATGACTCTGCTAAGTTAAATAATCCCGAAAAGAGCTCGGCTCTTACGCTACCTTTACTTGTATATAATCATATAGTAGGGTGATAGGATAGGATGAAAGTATTAAAAAGTAATATAGTTGAGTGAAGAGACAGGTTAATCTCTGAATCTTTGTTCATCGAATCAGCACCAGACATGTGCAGTCGAGATGATTCAACGCTTACTATACCTGAGGTATGGAAAGTTGAAACAAACACTAAGGGAAATATTTATTAGGACATCTAAAAAATTTGAGCAAAGAATATACTTTTCGATAATTTCTACTTCTAGCTCTACAATTACGTATGTACGTTTATATACACAGAATATCCTAGAATAGTAGTCAGTAACAACATTGATGTTTTTAAATATTATCGATTTGTAAAGTAAGATCAATGGAATTACAGTTCACTAAAGATGCATAAATTATAATAAGCATAAAAATGTAATAGTAAATAGAGTATCAAATAAAATTAAGGAAATTTCCACAACAAATTGAGGATCATTAGAACCTTGATTGATGGCCAAGGTAAGGACAGTGTCTGAACCAACATCTTCTTTTGGATACATAAGTTAGGTTTCTTAATGTGGATCCCAACAGTCAGCCTCATCATTATGTAGAAGACGAACTCTTAAGGTGAAGTTAAGATTAGTTGGTATGCGGGAGATGACTCTGAAAGCCTCGTTAGCATCAATCTTGTGTTCTGTATCCACGAGATGAGATAGAATAGAGCTATGAATGGATTTTGTTTGTCCCTTACTTAAACACGCAGGATGGTGTTTTCGGAAGAGGGAGAGACAGTGTGACTAAATTGATATAATTATGAGTATTAAATTGTGCTTGAAACGTCATCCGCTTATTAACACCGCATTACTTTGTGTTATATTAAATAGACTTATCTGATATAGACTTATATATTGTACCATAGTGCTCAAGTTCTGCTCTTCTATAACTTCTTTCCTTCTCACAATCCCACAACCTAAAGACATCATTTTTCCCTGAGGTTTTTTTGTAATTTACTCGAAACAAACTGATAAAAATTAAATAGCGGAACGAGACAAAACAGACAACAGTTTCATCCTTTCAACCCCCGCCGCCCTTATCTTCCATCTCTGTTGTTTTTTTTGTTTCCTTATTTTCTAAAGTTTTTAATGTAAATGTCAAAGATTTATTAGTTGTTTTCGTTATTATGTCAAGAAAAAACGATTCGATTTTCAGACTGTAGTGACAGCGAGTTTTAGTCCCATCAAATGCATCTTTTCAAAAAATGAACATTCTTCAGGCGTCATTTCATGAGAGTATAAATCAGAAGGATACCAGGGGGATAATTGTTTTTTCATTTTAATTATCAGGGATAATTTTCTAGGGAAAAGTGTTTTAAAAAGATTGGATCACACTGTGATCACATTAAAATCAGTAAAAAATTCTGACAGCACAGTTGTTATTTAATATTGTGTTACATGAATGATAAGTTGTCAAAAAATAACTACTGCAATGTGATGCGCAAACTGGCTCTGTGAATCCAGGTATTTCTGTTTCCATAGGAGACTTATCTTCACTGAACACAGGAGTGAATATCAGCTAATGGGATGTCATAGGTAATGTCATGATATCGATAAATGGAAGACTGACATGAAACATATTATAAATATTGAGGTATGACTTTAAATTACGAATAGTGAAGGTTTCTGTGGATAATTCAATTCAGTTAACTCTTCACTCTAGAAATCTTCTGCACACAGCATAAAGAACAAGGTTCAGACTTTCAATTTGGTTCATAAACTTGTCGCGCCACAAAACCATTTCCAACAAGCTGTCGAGGACTTTTATCAACAGCTGTCTTCGCTCCATAGTGAAGATCGGATGGCCAACTAGAAAGGATAAGCAACAAGAAACTCTGAGAATGAACCGACTAAGAACCTATTGCTCAACAAATATACTGTAGAAGATGGATTGGGCACATGCTGTGGAAACCGTCGAATGACGCCATGAGCCAGGCCGTCAATTGACTGGGACCCGAATGGGAGTGGGTCTGAGGTTGACCTGGAGGAGATCGTGAGAAAAGTAGATGAGGGACCATGAGCAGTTGTAGAGCCAGCAAAAGAGCACCTCAGAGAATAGGACTATATGTAGATATGCTACTGAAGACGAAGGAAACAATAATAATAAACAATCACAAACTCCTCAAACGAGTCATTAACTAGTGTTTATAACTGAAATTCGGCTAACTATATTTCCAGTGAAAAAAACCATTACAGATAGGGGTAACCAACCGAAATGTGAGGGTAATCACACCTACATGTTGAGTAATAGTTCTGTTGCACTGGGAACTGTTGGAGATCACATATGATTCATCACTGGATTTCTAAATGTTGTCATTGTCAATTTCAATGTGAAATGAATTTATAAGTGGAAACAGTTGAAGATTTGTAAATTATCTAGAGAAAAAGATGTTCGCGAGAATTCTCCATCTGAGGTGTTTTTGTGGTGAGGAGTAATCACATTGAATCAGATCTTCCACGTAGTCAATAAATATTGCAAAAAGGCAGCGGCAGCTCTATAAGAAGCGAAATAACCCAACACCTCATTGGCATTGACCACTCTATCTCAGCCGACAACTGCTTCGAAATGATCTACCAATAAGCCAATGGAATTCGACCCAACTGCCTATGAATTCCAACTTCTGCCGATTTCACAGTATGGCGCAACTACTAAGCAATGTCACCAGCGAGTATTTACCCTCGCTGGTCACGACTTCTCACTAGAATTCAGGCAAATACCTACCTGTGTTCAAACCCCTGTGGGTGCGTACTGGTGGAGAGTCCCAAACAAGGACTAAACAGCTATCCAGTACTCCAAGGTTTTCTAATAGTTCTTCAACCGACGTCAGCTCATGATGAAATCCTGTCAGCAATCAAATGAAATGCCTGTAAACCAACACTCGAAAATAACATAACCACTGTTCAGAATAAAGCTATTATCATTCCTGTTATTACCTATTTTGATTTTTTTCCCGATGATGGTTGGACAGTGACTATTTATGAACAAATGTTTGTTTCACAAGTAAGTAGTGACTTCTTTATTAGATTACAGAACAGTGAATATTTTATTCCGAAAAAGTTATCACATGGGTGTATCGGGTGTAACACAAGATTAGTTAACGCAGCAAAGTGCTTAAATTACGGGTTTGTTTTTTCCTATTCATATTCTATCAGCTTGAAAATTGCATGTTTTGAGTTGTAATGAGAAAATAGAGCATTAGCATATATGCATATATATGTATATATGTGTGGATTGTAATCATTCCACCCTCATTCAGCAGTTGAGTTCATCTTCCGTTTTTTGTTTTTGTTTTGCAGTTTATGCAATAAACACAATGGTTATGTAAATAGAATCAATTCAGCTGACATAAAATTGGACAATGTAGTGGATACAAGCAAAATGAAATGTTCCACGAATATTCAGAACTACAACAACAACAACAACAATATCAACAATAACAACAACACCACCAACACCAGCAACAACAATTGGGATTCACATATACACAATAATCATAAGAGATCCGAGCAGATTATACAACGTTTAAAACATAATAATAATCCTAATAATTATCATACACATGGTTATGATCGTAAGATATATATCAATCAAAATAATGGTACTACATATATCGATGATTTACGTATACGTCGGACACCAATGCCAGGGCATAGACAATTTTTAAATAACACAGAAGGTTAGTTTGTTGTGGATTGATTCTAAAATTTGAATGAGTATTACTTGTATATATCTTAACTCATGTTTCCTCATGCTTTTTACGTTCCCAGTGGAACACAGAGCTTTAGACTTGAGCTTTGAAGTTTTACAGTGGGTGACGTTCTGTTTACGAGGTTAGATTGCTAGCCTCATGCGCAACCTCCACTTTTTATCAGGCTTACTACTAGTGAGGTGACGTTTAGGAGTGCGTCGGTCGGACCATGTGTGTATGGCGAGCGTTCTACCTATGAACTACCGGCGTACATGTATAAATCCCAAGGTCTATTATTATTATTGTTTCCTTTAATTCCTACAGGAACATAGAGCTTCAGCCCCACGTCTCCATTGCGTTCGGTTCTCTGCTAGAGTCTTCACCTGGCTCCAAGTCTGCCCACACGCTTTCATCTCCCCTTCACATGACCTCCTCCAAGTCACCCTTGCACTGACGACCAACTCGCCGCTTCCCTTTCGGGTTCCACTCGAGCAATGGCTTGTCTAGTGATGTCACTTGATGGTTTCCTCATAGTATGGCCAATCCATCTCCGTTTCTTCTTGCCTGTTTGTTGTACATTTGGTTCCTGCTGTGTTGGTTCGCTCCCAGAGATTCCTGTTGGTGATCTTTTCTGGCTGGCCATCTGATCTTGAGTATTGAGCGAAGACAACTGTTAATGAAGGTCTGTAGTTTGTTTGAGATGCTCTTTATGACGCACCAAGTTTCTTATCCCAAGGTCTGATGAGAATTTGAACAAAGCAAGGACAAAAATGTAGAAAAATGATATCAGATTTAAAAAAAATTTAATTTGTGAATAATTCTTGAAACCAGTCAGTATGTTTTCTTTGATAGTCTTCGATAGAGCAAAAGGGACATGAATTATTATTGTTTCCTTTAGTTCCAAGAGGAACATAGGAATTCAGCTGCACATCTCCATTGCATTCAGTTCTCTGCAAACGTTTTCACCTGACTCCACGTCTACCCACATGCTTTAATCTCCCCTTCGTATAAACCTCCTGTATGTCCCTCTCCCACCGACGACCAACTTTTAGCTTCCCATCTGGCTTCCACTTGAGCAGTGTCCTGGCGTGAGATGTCACTCACTTGATGATGTTTGTTTTCTCAGAGTATGGCCAGTCCACCTCCATTTCTTCCTGCATATTGGTTGCACAGTTGGTTCCTGCTGGGTTGGTTTGCTCATTGCCACAAATCCCTGTTGCTAATCTTTTCTGGCCAGCTGTTGATGAAGGTCTGTAGTTTGTTCAATGTGCCCTTTGTGACGCTGCGCCAATTCTGTGATCCATTTAGTAAGTAGCAGTGACTTCACATTGGAGTTGAAAGTCCGGATCATATTTTTCATGCTGATTACAGTGTATAAAATGTTCATATTCTATTTCGAAGCTTCTTTCCTGCTGTAAACAGCCTAAATTATACATAAGATCAGTGAAATGAGAACATGAAATTTTTATTCACTTGAAGAGAGGAAAAGATGATGAATGAAAAGAAGATGGAATTATTATGACAACTAGCAAGAAAAGACACCAGTTGTTTATATATATTATAGGTTGGGAAAAAAATTCATTTTTTGGCAAGTGGCTTACAGCAATACACTAACTAATTACCAATATACATGAGTAAGACAAAGGGGCCTATTATTACCGATGATATTTCTCGTTCTGGTGAACTGAATCATGAAGCAGACAGTTGGAATATTTTAGGCAGAAATGAAGGCTCCTGAAGATCGGAACTTGGCGGATGATTTATGTCAAGTATTACACAAACTCAAAGATCTGCAGGTGAAAATTAACAAGTTGGCAGAAGAGGTGAGTAGCGAAGACAGGACTTAAAGTGATTATAGAAAAGACGCAGATAATGAAGACATCTCACTGACTAACAGTAACAAATATCAGTCATCATCGACAGGAGAAATTCGAAGGAGCTCACTTTTTCAACCATTTAGGCGGCACCGATTCAACTACAGGTGGCAAATATGTGAATGTCAAAGCCATTCAGGATTGGAAAAGGAAAACAGACTCTCGTTACTCTGAAATCGGTGTGGGTATCTGCTACATTGAGAATATAGAAAACGAGATCCAGGTTTTCAACATTAATGTCATTCAAGTAAGTGTTTCTGTGTGGTTTAGAAACTTGGCAAGTGCATCAATTAATGCAAGCTACTTCAAACTTTCATCAAAGATTACTTTCGCTTGATAATGAATCTCAGTTGGCCAGTTGGAAAAGATAAGCGACAAAGAACTCCAGTAGGCGAAGAACCAATCAATAGCATGTGACTCAACAGATATTCAGGCAGAAATAAAGGAGATGCACTTGACACATGCTGAGTAGACGGACCTTTTCACATCATCCACTTCGCAATAACTCAAGTGGGACCCTAATGGGAAACGTCGAGTTGGGCATAAGTCCGATTGTGACGTGTGAGACGGAGATGAAACCTTATGGGCAGTCGTGGAACCGGCCTACAATGACTACAGAGAAGACAGTTGAAGGGCAATATTCTGTTGACTCCTTATGTTGCATCCGGGAACCAAAGGAATAATATATATATATATATATATACATATATACGACTATTCATAATCTTTTCTTCTAACACTTAATGATATAACTATTTACAACATTTCGGACTTCTTTTACTTATGGTTCCCACCAGTAACTCGTCGTGAACTTGATAAAAGTGTTCCTGACTTTAGTTATCTTGCGTTTCTCTTTGACTTATTCATATGGAACCGTAATACTCAGTCTTTGTTGGCATGTCAGAGTCAACTACAGACAATTCGATGATATTTGATAGTTAGCCTTCTGTTCTTAGGTTGCTGGTGGCTTGTAGCAAAATCCAGGGTGATTCGTTGAAGGGATTCTACACTAGATGAGAGCGGTTAGAGAACCACTGGAAAACCTGTGATTACTGGACAGTTGTTTCTTCCCAGTTTGGTACTCTTCAGCACTAATCCAAGGTTTTCCAATGGTTCTGTAACCGATGTCAGCTCATGATGGAGTCCTCCAACTAACCAAACAAAAAACGCCTACAAAACAATATTGAAAATTCGAGGTGAGCATTTTCGACTCATTTGTTATGCATAGCTGCATTCTGAGTAAGCTATGATGTTCCCACAGAGAATCGAACCCAGTAGACATTGATTCATACATCAAAGCGATATTCACTAGGTTGTATTCAATTGAATGAAATCCTGATAAAGGTGTTTTTTATTCCTTAACGTTCCCAGTGGAACGTAGGGCTTAAAGCTATAGCTTTGGAGTTTCGGTAGCAGTGGTGATTATTTTTACGGGATGGGGCTGCTAGCCTAATGCCCAACCTTCCCTTTTTTACCAGCCTTATTACTAGCTTAGTGAGGTAAAGGAGCGTGTCGGCCGGGAATGGAAACCCTGGTCACCTGCGTGGTTGGCGAGCATTCTACCACTGTGTCACCGACGCTGATAAAGGTGTTCTCGAACCATTTTTCATAATACAAATATTTCTTTTAGTTTAGGTTGTAGGCAGTTGAGAAAAATCCGTGAAATAATAAAAATTGGACTTATGTTATCCTGCTTAATTTTTTATTCCCACTACTTTGTGCAGGTTTAATTAATGCAGAAAATTGAATTGAAGAATTGCAGAAATGTCAGAATAATGTTAAATTGTCCATTTGTTTAAATTACTACATCTAGTATCTGTTATAAAATCATGAAATAATTTTGTATGTTAGCTGAAGACACATGATAATTTCAGTGAATGAAGTCAGTGCAGTGTTTTGTGAGATAACAATCCATTTATCAAACGATATTACATGGAAATCATCTCATTGTAACTTTATTTATCTACGTTTAATATATGACATACCTTTAAGTTTATTTGGAGGACAGGTGTGTTCCCTGATGCAGCATATAATACTTTGACAATTCATGGGCTCTATTACTAACAATGAGCTAGAAATCCCTGTAGATTAGTTCTAAGCAGCAGGCTTCGCATTCAAAAAGCTATTTGAAAAATATTTTGTAATCAACTAAGAGTATAAACATTATGTCACTTTCCTGTCACATTAACCGAGTCATGATATAAACCTTTTTAAAACATAGTAGATTGAAGATACCTGACAAAGGAACTTAATCCTAAGTAAGATCTTATTATTTCCGAAGACGCTACGAATCGGCAACCACTAAGCACAGATATCGACTTTAATTTCAAAATATAATAGATGAATAGAAATTGTATTCTTCGATAGATGAATTCAATATTCTGTACTAAGTCTATAAACAAATGTTTTTTCAAGGAATGTATTGTACTTTTATTCGTATTCTTTCGTCTTCTTCTTCTAACTTGTATACGAGCGAATCATTCGCGCCTTTTAGTTGTCCGCCAATGGCGACCAAAGCCAATAAATGTTCACAATCAATGATATTACCCATTAAGAATTTAAAAGACTTAGCACTTAGCTTATTCTCAATAAATTCGTCGTCAGATTCTGTATTTAAATGAAAGTAATAATTAAAGAATTTTCGCCATTAATAGCATCAATATTGTTGTAAATTATTGAAAACAAAACACGTAGTTCAGCGAAGAGTCTCTTTGCAGCGGATTCATTTTCTCAGCTGTACAATCGCAAATACATATATATATATATATGGGTTATTTTTTAGGTATGTGTACATTAAGTTTGTCAAACAAAAATACAATTGGTTATGATTATTTTAACTAAACAGGTGAAGATTGGTAATTGGAGTTGCGTAATACAAAATCAGTCAAGAAAATTAGGCGCTAACGAAATTAGGGTAACAGAGGTAATGAGTTGTCACAAACACTTGTTAAAAAGAAGTTATGTAATAATATGAATAGTTTGATGATTGAATTTTACTCAGGATACACATAGGAACTAAGTAGAGAATACGAAATTACGTAAGAGTTCTAAATGAATACAAGAATTATAAGCAATTAAAGAACAGGCAAAGAAACAAAATTAAGTCATCAAAAT